TGTAGAAAAATGATTCGTAGTAAGGTACTTGGCCATGTTGAATCAAATCATCCCTCAGCACGACTAAAATACGAATCCCGAGCTTGACACTTGTTTAACAAACCTACTCCTCACGACAGGGGAATGGCTCAAAGCCCATGATTGCAAGCAGCAAGCAGATGTCACGTCTACCGAATTCAGCAAGGCACTCTATAAAGTGTCTCGCGTAAAATTGCCAGAAGAGCCGTTTTTCGGATTTGGCGCTGTCAGCAAACCTGGCTTAGGAACTTTCTGCCGATAGAAGACAAAGAGTGAGAGTTAACGGCACGCTGTTCAGGTGGAAACCTGTGTCAAGTGGAGTTCCCCAAATAAAAGTCCTAGATCTCGTATTTTTCTGGTTATATGCTAGCGAATCACCAGAAATGCTCAACTCTTCCGTGTCGATTCTGGCAGATGATGTAAGAGTTTTGAGTCACGTACGGGATGTCGATAGGCATGCACTTCAAGCGGATATGGATGAACTGGTAGGTTGGTTCAAATGTTGATGCCTGGAAATCAACACCGGTAAGAATGCAATAATGCACACCGGTCACAGAAATTGTTTCCAATATTCTGCCGATGGCACACTACTATTCCCAGTCATTGAAGATTCATGTGTCATCACAAGCCATGGTTTGAAAACTTCAGCACGCTGCATATCAGCTGCAGACAAAAGGCTTCCGTGTATTGTAGTCCACCCACAGAGCTTTCAAAAATTTCGATATGTTCAGAATACTCTCTTCTTCCTATATTAGACACCACTTGAAACACTGCATTCAGGCGACCAGTATATACCTGAATGCGGATGCTGCCTCATTCGAGGGTATTCAAGTGGTAGGTAATAAGCCTGCACCCGGACTTCCGAATCTGCCCTGTGAAGGACGATTAGATCAGGCGAACTTATTCTTACCTTTTTACCATCGAAGGCGGAGCTATCTCATACCGTCATTCCGCATCCTTATTTATGAGTCCTAGACTTATCTGTCCTACCTTTCTCCCCGTCTTGGACTGATTATCTCTGAAGGTACAACAAAGAAATGTAAAGGCTGCGATCGAAGCAACTTGATGTGAATCTGCGTTTCTCCCGTCTTGCGGTCAACGACTGGAACTCCTTATCTCGGTAGGCAGTATCAACAATTTTGGTCGACCCACTCCAGGAGAAGACAGATTTTACATAAATATCTTCTACAAGGATCAACGCAGGCCAACTGGCCTGCTTTCTCACTACCGTCATACCTACAACCTAGTTTCTGGGAATCTGACCCACGTGGCCAAACGCTTCACTCACAGGCACTACCACTGAGGTAGTCGGGCTGAGCAGTGCTAGGAATCAGTCATTTCTACCTCATCTTCATAATGCCGCAGACAATCTAAAGCCAAACAACAGTACCTTATGCTTCTGCGGCGAAAAGGAAACCATGAGGCTGGGTATAGGAGCCTATCTATAAAACCTTATTGAAATCTTTAGAAAAGGTAAACACCGGTTGCAATCCCGGTGCTCAAGTATGTTTCCATTGCATACAAAAGGCCTTCTTCGCGCGGCACCATTATGTCAGATCACGGGGAAATTTTTCCAGCAGGGGTACCAGTGGCCTGAGCAGTAGTGATAGAGGGGCGGAAAAGCCTCTAGCTGATCAGTATATACAATCCTTCTGGTCATCGGTTTCGTCCACAAGTGGCTATGAGCGGAAGTAGCCAAACTCCCAACTGTTCACCGGGGTGTCGGTCAGCAACATAACGAACTGATCATTTCGAACAAGGACACCTTTCCGAACCCGGATGGGATCCATGCAGCTAACCCTCATGAAGAGACACCATTTCTCTTACAGATTCTCTGCACATTGTTCACACATTCGCTTAGCTAGTGCATAGTGCCTAAACTTTGGAAATTAGGTAGTGTCACACCCATCCCTATGGGTCACCAACAAAACATAGGCCCATAATAATCCATCCCAGCTTAAACAACTGACTAACATTCGACTTATTTGGAAAGTCCAACACTTACCGACCGCAAGGCTGTCACGACCGGTGTAAACGGCACACAAGATGTCTTGAAAGTCCACTTGGCGCATTCGAAGAAGCCTATTTCTTCTGCATTCCGGGGTTGGAAAAGTGAAGATATTTGGCCCTCAGTCGTAACATCCATTAAGATTATAAATCTCCCGTGTGGAATGGTGTTAACATCCATGAATTGTACGGTTCTGGAATCATCGATGAAGTACAACAAGTAAACAATTTGTGCATACATTCCCTCATAAACTTTTCATCATTATTTCAAGCAAAAATTAGGCTGTTACATTAGAAGTAATAGCTTCAAGCTTCATTTTTTTCTCCAGGTAATATATGAAGTGTCCAGATCCAAACCTGGCTCTTTTGCTAATGCGAAGACAATACTTCTACCTGTTCAGCTTGCAAATTTTCCGCATACAGATTCTGCTGGAATATTTCATTATATGAACATGCAGCACTTATATCTTCTAGTGACAATAGGTGGGGATTGAGGTTACCTTCCATGTGGACAAGTAATTTATGTAGAAACATATTCATGCCTGTAAGTGATGTATGCCTTTATATTCAGGAATAAGTATTACCTTTGTTATTAACCCAAGTTAAATTGTCCTGGGAAGGATCTGGTGCGTCACACGTCCGCTTACTGGAGTAAACAGTCGAACTAGCGTTGCTGATCGTCCAGGTAGGGTAGATGTAAAACACCTTAGTTTCTCCAAGACCCTTGACCACATTCATCACAGATGTCTTATGAACAAGAACGGTTCACTACTGGAGGACTGATTGTCGTCACAGCTAAGGGACTACCTGTTCAGGATCAAGATGAGTTGTGCGCGTTCGAAGTAAGGAGCTGCCTTATTTAAATCTTCTGGGACTCGCATTAAAGGACACTCCTGCTTCTAACTTAAATGAGTAGTTTGCCCACACAGGTGTAATCTAAGATTCTTCCGCCTGTCAAACAAATGGAGCCATGGAGAAAAATCCGAAATGTCAACGATGGGTTCTTTTCGCGAGGTAATTTTAACAGAATTCAGCGGTTGGTAAATTACGATGAACTCATATTCAATTACGTTAGGCGGAAACCGGTACATCTATAGCGTTATGGTTGCTGGAAGCATTCAACAACATTGCCGAACATCTCCTATCTTGTTCACTTAGAAATGAAGGGAGATTTTGAGCTCATAAAGAGGCGCTGCACCTAGGCACCTCGTGCACTAACCCTCGAATCATATGGACGGTGATGAAACAATACTGCAGTTAGTTTCTCATTTGTTCAAGCGACAATCAAAACTAATTAAGGGGAAAATTTAGGAGTTGGAAATTTCACATGGTGAACTGGCACAATACGTAAAGTTTACCTCTTGAGAGTTCCCAGGGTTTTGAATTCTCCCTGCTCAGAATATGTCCAGGCTGTATCATTAGTGACCTTCATACCCAAGCCTGAGGTTCACTTAGGGTCGAAGCATGACATTATGGACCAAAGTTCAAACTTCTTGTTGTAGAATTAGTGGACGGGGTTCCCTGGGCTCTACATCTGTCTTAGTGGAATGCATTCTGGGCCTGGAATAGTCACAGCTGTCTTCCCGATTCCGAAAAACCTGAATGGATAGACGTAAACGATTATCAGTTAACCTGGTTTCAAGGTAGCATTACTGCGCCTGATCCGCAGGTGACAGAAAGCTTCTCCAGTGCAGCCCATCGGAGCTGTAGAACTCTGGGTGTCTGTGTAACCTCCTTTTAAAAGCACCAGGGGATGGGGGTGTAAAAACTGCTGAAGGAAGGGAGTTCAGCAGTTTACAGACTCTAACCGCAAATGAGTTAGCACGGATCTATTCTTAAAGGGTGACCCTTCAGATCGCTTTTCCGACTAAAGGTTAGAAGAGACCTGTTAGGATGGAGAGGATTATGGGCTATGTGGTACGTCATGATCATCTCCCCTCTGACCCTCCTGTATTCTACTGATGCAGCTTAAGAGCAGCTTAGCGATCTGGGTATGGTTTGTGCCGTAATCCAATCGCCTTCTTTGTAGCTCTTCTCCGTACCCGCTCTAGGATGGGTATGTCCCTCTTCAAGTATTTGGATATCACAAAGGAATTTTTCGCTAGATGAGGGCGAATGCAAGGAGCATTCACTATGGTGAAAAGAGAAGGAGTCAGACCCCTAAAGTTCGCGACAGGAACCCCAAGACTCCATAGACGTTGTTAGTTGTAGGGCGACAGTGAGGTGAGGTTCTTAGTGTGTCACTTAGTGTAACCGCTAGATCTTGTTCCATGTTACAGAGACAGACATTTATTTCACCCAGAGACTGGGACTGCTTTTCTGTTTATCAACTGCCATTACCCGACACTTCTTAGAGTTGAGAGGAGGCAGGTTTTCTGTATCCCAATTAAGAATTTTGTAAGGCCCTCCTGGAAGACCGAAATATTTGTTGGCATCTGTATTTCCCACCAAATTTTCAGATCATCGGCATATTATAGTGAATGAGTATTAAGTGCTCCTGGTAGGTCATTGATAAAAGCAAGAAACAGTAGTGTGCCCAGAATAGAACCTAGACGCACACCACTCAGCATCGGGAACCAGTTAGATAGAGAGGAGCCAACTCTAACTGACTGTAACCTGGTGTAAGGATAATCCCTAAGCTAAGTTAGTATTTTCCGTGTACACCCATGAGCTGAAGTTTCTTACTTAGGATATCATGAGTAGCCCTGTCAAAGGCCTTGAATAGGTCAAGTAAACCAGTGTGAATAGGCTTTTTCTGCTCAGCAGAAAGAGTCTAGCTATTCTAAGCTGTAAACAAATTGTTGTTACATGACCTCCCAGGTAAAAAGCCATGTTGACTAAATAACTCCTCTCATGTATTTTTTCAATCCTTTGCCTACACATCGATGTTATAGCGTAAGGAAGTTAACATTTTCCACTTCTAAATGATGAAGTGAATTGGGCAGCAGCTTCTTCGTTTATTGCACTAGTCAATTGAGACATTGAAAACGGTGCACTTTCAAATGACAGTGCAATACAACCAACTTGTCCTTACAGGTGGTCCTGGCGTATTCTTTAAGCTTTTACTGAGGTGAGGTTAACTTTGTTTTCGATTATTATTTTTCAGATGGCGAGGCTGTGTGTTCAAACTAATTTATGTCGACGTCATTGTGTTCATGACTTTATACACTATAATCAGCTGTGTATATCGTTTCTCCCTTCCAGACGAAGCGAAAAGGTTTGACTCTCTGTTTGAAATGCCTAAAATATTTCAGGGTGTTTGAAAGAACTGTGGTTTTTACACAGAGTTTTCAGGGACTGATTCCTGTTTCTTTCATCCTTGGTTTTTACATCGACAATGTTTTCTCAAGGTTTTGGAGATTATTCATGACTATCCCATGGGTACTGAAATTCGCTATTTCTATTTCTGGACATATTGCTGGAAATTCAGAACGCGCCCGATTAATGCGTCGCACATGCTTTCGTTACATGATGTCAAGTCTCATCATAACTTCCACTCGTCTCAACTTGGTTGCTAAGAAGCGTTTCCCTACACCAGAGTTCTTTGTTGCTGCAGGTAACATACATTGGTATTTTAAACTGAAACTTAGGTAGACAGGCATTTGAATGTAACTGATGACAATAGTTAGCTTTCTGATAAAGTTAAGCTGAATAGTCAAACCTTTCCTCCTCTGATAAATTCACTCCAGGTTTTTGACAGGTTCCAACATCCAATATCTTTTTAACGAGCCTGTGTAAGCCAGTTGGTTTTTTCTTACTCGCTTCTTGGTCTTTCGGAACGGTTCCAGGTCTTTGGCGGATTCCGATGCAGTAGATCCAGCCATTCGTCTGCTATAGCTCTAATTTACAGAACAGGAAGTCAAGTGTTGGTTTGTTTGCCTTGGACTGTGGTGCAGTTAGCTTCTTTAGATGTCGAGTTGCCAGACAGTTGTTCGGACTGGTCGCTAGAGAGGGTTAGGGATAAAGAGAAAACCTGGAAAGGTGAATTTGTGTAAAAGAGGAAGAAAAAAGTGACCTAGTGGGGTAATCTACTTACACCCAAGTAAGGTGAGGAGGGGTGCATAGCCATGAAAAACTTGGGTAAGTGAGGCTAACTCATGGCAAGTGAAAGAGATGAAAAGGGCTTAAATGATTGCAGTAGAAAAAAACTGATTGTAGAGCTAAAAATAGTTGGGGTGGCTTGACATCAGTTGGTTTCTTCTGTTCGTGTTCCAGCTATATGTGAGTAGGCCATGGGTCTCTGTGTGACTGTCTAGCTTCTTGAAGCTTTCAATAGTTGGGGCGGAGACCACCTCTGCTGGTAGTGCGTTCCAGTACCCGCAGACTCGGAGGGAGAAGTGTGAACGCACATGAGTTTCTGACCTCTAGTGGGCTACTCTCTTTGGGTTTCCTCGAGGATCTCCATAGTGACCATTATTGTCCGATTGTAGCAAGACATTGTCAAGTATGGCTGACGTATTTATCTGCGTGCTTCAAGTTTTAAGTAACGTGTTAATGACTGACGAATTCCTTTAACTTAGGAATAGATTGCACCAGAATTATTTATCATCACACAAACACTCCCAATATTTGCAGACTTGACCTAACGTACAGAACACGTATCGTAAAAATTTTGGAGGACTTTAGGATGCCTGAATGGCTCAAATTGTAGGGAAGAGTCAGTTTTGATAGCTCTTCCTACTTACGGTCAGGACAAATCTTCTAAGTAATACTTGGGCATTTGTAGTGGTTCTTCGAAAGCGCGTAGGGAACCCAGAGTGCACCAGTATCATTTTCCTCTAGCGTTACATTTTGATTGGCTGTCCCTTTGATCATTGTGCCTTAGTAGTTTGTGAATCGTTGGGAATAAGATCACTGATATCAAGATTACCCTTCTGTAGTGTTGAATGGAGTTCACATGAAGCACTTAAAAACAATAAAATTTCGTCACTTCACCAACTGTGAGTAGCATTTAAAAACCTGGAGCACTAAGAACTATAATTTGCGTGGGAACGGTACTTACAGTGCCAATAATTGTCAAATATAAACAGTTAACTCTAAGGTCCTGGGATGTCTGAACGTTTGTAGGCACATCCACGGTTGAGCCTCAACATTAAAAGTGGTATTTGTGTGATAGGTTTTGTTTTAAAGTTATGAAAACCTTTCGTGTCGAAGTTTGATAAACACTGTTAACATTTACCATTTACAACGCTTATTTATAATGCCTAGTTTGGTGGAGATAAAATCAGTATTTGGGAGTTACCATGAAAAATGATTAATGCCTGTATTTAATTTAACTATTCTCTGAAAGTGGGGAAACAAATATTCCGTACTGAATTTCTGTTCATTTTTACAGGCATACTTACAGACGAAGAGTTAAAAATAATCATGAATGTTAATCCTACTCATATGCAACCCTTTGTCCCTGTCATATGGACCACTTCCCTCATTACTCGTGCTAAAAAAGAAGGGTTGATTGTAAACCACCATGCTTTAGTTTCTATTATCGATGTAAGTCATTTCCAATTCATTCCAATTCGTAAACTTAATATGTGTATAACATTTAAAACAGCCTTAAATCGTTTATTATATCACATTCGCTCACAGAAAGCTATTCAACATCGATTGCGAGTAAATAACCTGATTTTTCTAGATGTTCTCGGAAAGAAGCAGTTAGACGTACTCGGATAAGTATGGTTTCGTATTGTGCGTAATTAATTTTCAGTAGCGTCTATCAAGTTGGTAAACGTCTACTGCAATTCAGGCCGATAGCAGGGGAACACTTCATTTGCACATCCGGTGCTGCTGAGATGGTTGGGACACGTGTTACGTATGCCTATTTGCCGATTGCCTCGTCACATAATGTTGGCCGAAGTAGGTTCAGACTGGAAAAAGGATCGAGGCGACCAGACTTAAACATGGCACCAATGTATGAAGTCTTCGACTGTTGGTTTAAGCCATGTGGGGCGATGCAGACGAGCCAGTTGGGGTCCGCGGAACAAGAGGAACCACTGGTTGGAGACTCTAGGTGATATGGCTCAGAACCGATGTCAGTGGCGCAGATATATACACACATCCCCACCCAAACATTATACCGTATCTCACTATTTCTCATTCTTCATCTCTTTTTTCTTTAGCACTTTATATTTCCTTTGACTAAATTTTCTTCATCTTGCACTTCACTGCCTTTTTACTTGATGTACTGATATGAGGTATGGCAACTCGGACCGTTAAGCAGTAATGCCTGGTCATATGTTGATTTGGGTGATGGATGATGATAACGCTGCCTCCATATTCACCTAGTAGGTTGAAGAGGCACCAGCATGTTCATCGAATACCTGATACAGGATTGTGTGGATAATCGAAATGATAAACTTATAAGCTTAACTAATAAAGACATTAGTGCCTCACAAATTAATTTTAATGGTCGTCATGTTAATGGTCTACATCTAAAGTTCGATATCTGGTCATTCTAAAGATAATTTGATTTCTAATATATTCACGGGTTTTCTAAGTATCCTGATGCTTAAAATTGCGTTATTTTGCCATACTTATGAAATTAAACTTCCAATGGTGAAATTAAAATGATGTAATAAGATTCACGGATGAGTCAGTAATTGGGATGGTTTATTTTACATGTGTATTGGAGAAATACTGTATGTCATGTGTTCTTCAATATCGACTCCCAGCATAGTCAATCAAAGTTATCGATTACCTCTAAACCTTGTAAATTTCTTTTTATCTCTGAAAACTACTCATTGGGATTTTCCTTTTGTAATGCCAACTAATTTTGCAGGATGGCCAACTTCTTTACTTTACCCGCTGGATGCAGACTATTAGTTAAGTTGTAGTTCATTAAGTTGGACACTGTTTCCAATTCCTGTCTACTGGGGCATCACTGATAGCCCCTACCTTGACGGAGTGTCTAGGCTTTCCAACAACAACATGGGCGCCAGGAGATACACCATAAAAAGTAATTCAACAACAATTCAACAACAACACAGAGAAGAGAAAAAAGAACGAAAACGACAACAAAAACGGGTTACAAGAAGCAGTCCCAAAGAAGTATTCACTATTTTCCCTTTACCTTTCACTAAAAGGCGAAACAGAAGCTGTAACATGGTCGTATCTCATTTCAATTATGAGCTATATCCTCAATCGTCCCAAACCACCGAGTTGCATGATCTCTGAGACTCAGGTAGTTATGAGACACCAATAAATACTAGCCCTACACACTATGTTAGGTCATACACTGACCATCTCCACTTTTTCCAGCCAGTTCCAAAGTAGGTGAACAGTAACCGGTGTTGGAGTTTCCGGGTAGAAATTTTTAACACATGTTTTGGTCACTGAAGGCGGTATTACGAGATGACTTCAATCACGGAATGATCTTCCTCATGCCAAAACAAATTGTCTCACCCAAGAGTTACTTAAGTGGTGTTTCCATCGAATGTAGTCAATCGAACACAGTCTTCGGATCTCCCGAGCTCGGAGACCCCAGGTATTATGGGCGTACAGGAGAACCGACGACACTGGTACTTTGTACACCTTTCCTTTTAAAGACAGGCTGAAATTATGACAACGCCAAAGGTGACCCAGATTGATGTATGCTGTTCTAATTTCGATATACGATTGGAAACCTCATCAATCATACACCGACACTAATGCAACCAGGAACACTTCGGCAACTTCCGTTAATTCACCAGTGAGGGTTAAGGAGGGCAAAAGATCCTATCAGTTAATTAAAAGTACGCTTGTGTTGTACCTAAATGGTGATGATAAGAGTACTAATACTGCTTTCAAGGATGAAGGGGATCGAAGTTTGACGGAACAAGGCATCATCACTCATTCTGAAGATCAATCTGCAGTTTTGTAAAAGCAGTGCTGAAGACCATAACTATTCAGAAAGAGGTTAGAAAAGGTCACAGAATCTCAGCAGCTTCCTTTGAATTAATGGATGCATATGAACTCATTCTTATAGGCTTCGAACAGAATGAGAAGCGAAAACAACTCAAATGTAAACTGCCAAAGAGTTAACGCAATGACGGGGGGTAGTAGTGAACAGAAAAGCTTAAGAAATGGAAACGGTTGCGGCGATAGGTAACAGTAGACAGTTTTTGAGACTAATCAAGGAAACGGGCAAAATAGTCAATCGTTACTAAGATTATGGCGGAGAAGAATGGGTGTGTGCTTCACATGGAGATGACTGGAACGATGAACGAAAGACTTCAAAAGACAATTCAACTTGCCACCAGAAACCTTCGGTAGTTCGCTATCCAGTGGGATCCTGAATGGGAAACTGACGTAGCCCCACTCTTCAACTCTTCAGAAGTTGTGAGGGCTGTAAGCAACACGGAACAAGGAAGGAGAGCAGGCCATGGTGGACCAATACTAAAGTATAGTGGTCGACGGTGTTAGCTAGCATATGGGAGTCACATATAATCTTATCTGACTAGTCTCAATCGCTGATTATTCCATTTTTCATGAAGAGAGTAATCATCGCGTGATAACCATAGACGATTCAATCTAATGAACACTGAGATTTTGTCCTACAATTATAAACCTTCCAAGTGAAGCTCGAGAACAGCAAACCTAAGAAAACCAAGCAAGTTTCAGATCTGGTTGGACATTTGTTTATCAGGTTTTTACATTGTGTCCGGGACTAGTTGTCTTCTCCAGTGTGAAAGCAGCATTCGACTTTGTCAATTGAGAGGTATTATTTCTTATGTCTAGAAGGCTAGTTATTGGAAGAACTCTGGGAATGTTAGAACGTATGGTGTTGTATTGAAAGGTAACGGGAAGATCAAGACGGAAGAAGGAATGTTTGTTGTTAACATTTAGTACAGTAGTCGTAAAATATGATACACCTTACACTAAAACCGTCATTTGCAAAATGCGCTTCATTTCCTCTTCTGCTTCTCTCTTGATTTGCTCTTCATACGCTTGCGTTGTCCCTTGCGTTTCTCTTGGCAGAGTTTTTACCCGTTGCTGGTAATTGCCTATGATTTTTGCCGTCCTCTTAACATATACTACTTATATCCATTCTTATCAGCAACGCCCACTACAGTATCAGGTGATTCGTGTACTTCGCGTGGTATTATTCAAGAATTTTCAATCTCTTCATTGTTATGTCATTTTTTCGTCCACATAGAGGTCTCCCTCTCCGCCTGACCACAAGCAGTGAAGTTGTCACAGGAGGCTCCTTAGTAGAGAGAAGGTAAAGTTGAAGACTTTCATTGATTAGATTGCTGGACATGCGTTACGCTTGCTTAATCACTATCTACCTTATTATTAACTAAAGTAGGTTCAGGGTGACGATCAGACCAAAATATGACAGCCAGTGAAGTCTTTAGCTATCGATCTGAGTAGTACAAACTTCCCAGTTGTGTTCCCCGTGACAACATAAGTCGGTGATTAGAGACTGTGTGACATGGCTCAGAATCGATCTCAGTGGCACATATGTATTTACCCATATTATTTTCATATTAATCATCATACTGAGTTCCACTATTATTCTATCTCTCCCTTCTCTTTTGTGATGACTTCCTATCCCTTTTGACTGTTTTTTCTTCTTTACTCCTGACTTTTCATCTTGATGTGATGTTGTGAAGTGTGACATCTTGAATCGCTACACAGTGATATCCGTCTTATGTCGATATTGTCTGTTGATTGACGCTGACACCTGTCAAGTTTAAAAAGACTGATCAGTATAAAATTGAGGTGTACGAATTCCTGACAGGTTACTTTCAGCAATATTTGGATTTTGCTGTCCGGGATTACAAAGGTAGTTGAACTGAAAAGCTGGGTATATATGTCACTTTTGCCTTAGATGTATGCTTATCCTTTAAACAATTTGCCAGCGAACTTTCCGTCTACTTCAAACGATGAAATATCAGTAGCGAGAACAAGCATAGGTTCCTACCGATACTGTAGAAATAATCTGCACTTTGTCGGTGCAACACATATACTATATTTACGGATACTGATCGTCAGCTGATTAAATATCAGTTGAGTGGTGTGTGTTGTCGCATAGTAGTAGGGTATCATTGCGATACGTAAGGTTGAGAAGTTTTCCTCGTGGTAATGGATCTACGCCACAACCACCTGAGCAACAATTACTACGTCGATGTGGCGGTTGGGTTTGCCTCTCGCAATCACACCTAAGGATCTATTCAACTCCGATGATTATTCTTTGAAGTCGTTCCATACGAAAAGCGTCGATTATGTGGCGGTTCGACTAGAATTAGTTATTGTCATAGGTTAATAGCTCACGCTATGCCGTGTGTAAAATGCTGCGCTATGATGGGAGTCTGAGGCTAATTTGTAGTGCTGGTTGGACGGGATATGACAGAATTAAGACGTTTCCCTTGGATGACCAGCAATGCTGTGCTGATGCTGCATTCTTTATGGGAAGTAGGGGGTTAGAAGAGATAAGTCGCAAAAATAGTGGTCTGTTATCATCCTGCGGAATGCCTGTGACAGGGATTCGTAGTCGGCTTCAAAATCAAACT